AAAATGGAACTGTCGGACAAGCCTGCTTTGCTTCTCCTGGTTACTCTACGCGTGCACAAAGAACACATTTTATGCAGTTATTGCTTCAAAATGGAAACGCACGTCTTACCTTAAATATTCTTAATACTAATTTTGCACCATTATGATAAAGGGGGTAATTTTCAACCTGATCCTTAATATATTAGTCCGGCCAGCCTCAGAGTTCTGTTTCTTAATTCCCTGTGCAGTGTGCTGATAATTTACCCCTATAAATTTCCTTTTGATTTGCACAGCTGTTTCATTTGAGTAGTTCTAAGGATATATACACTTAAAGATTATCATTTTCAGTATCAATCATTTATGACTTTTCTCATCCAAAGGAACAATCCAAAGTGTCTGTAAAAAAAATTCAATTCATGAAATTCACTCATCTTTGTTCAACACCACAGGAAATTTAAAAATTATTTTCCTATATTAGCCTATATGTTTGCTAATTAAAAGCAGCCCTAAATGGGTATTTCTGTCACGCTAATTTTGTCACACAAGCTGAATGTTACATCATTATTTTGAATATAATTACAACAGGCTGGTTTCGAATTGACCTTACTAATAGTGTTAAAATACTAATGTTAAATAAAGATAAGGAAGAAAAACAGAAAATAATCTGAGATAAGACAAAAAGATACCACTTTAACATTTGTGCTTCTTCTTGTGAAGTGAATAGCAGTAGTTGAATTTTCTGATTCTGTGTTATTTAGCTTTATCGTAGAAATTACTTCTGAAGGGAACAAGACTGGAACCTGTTCTCATAATGGATACGTGAGTTTGGTGGAGAAACGCACGTGATTAAGAGAGCTTTCCGCTTACATATAGCAAAAGCTAATCATTCTTACTCTTACGCTTCTTCAGACAAAAACCTGTGCCTGGCTAAGCTGCTAAACATTAGAAAGAATGCAGTTAGCACTAGACAGCTTTGGACGCACAAAATCTCTTCACCTTGTTAGCATCTAACTACCCTGACATTTTTGCTTGCTGTTTCCCACTATTGCATTAATCACAGCGGATGGATACAACATTAATTTTCTCACAGTTTTACTACAGGTCATGAACTCTTGCAGAAGCTAAAGACCAATATCCTACAGCTGAAACTACATGGTCTTTGCTGATGCTACGAGCTGTCGTTAGGGGACATCTACTGATGAGCAAGTTTGATGCCCAGTCTTTTGACACTGTTTTGCACCATACAACTTGGAACACTTGACCTTTCTGGGGAAAAAGGCTTGGTCAATCCTCCACCCCACCAGCTCTGCAGGTGACGTTCTAACATATTATTGCTTTAAATATTACTGCTGTAGTCTAGCTGTCTGTACTTGGGACACTCCAGCACAGTAAGTTAGTTACTCAGATGTTCTTAGACCTACAGCAAGAGACATTAAGGATGCAGGGTTGTAATGCAAAAATGTTGCTCTTTGGATATGAACTAAAATTGTGTTACTTGGGCTTTAAACACTTTCCAATATAGCAGATGTCAAAACATAGACGAGAACTCTATGCTTCATGAAGCAGAGTGTCTATTCATGTCTTATCCACCCTTACCCATCCCTCCTTCATAAAGAAATACAGAGCACTTTACATTTAAAGTCTTTTGCTTTTCATGTGCCATGTATTTAAGTGTATAATGTATGTATAATGTAATCACTATTTACATGTACAATTCTCTAAGCTTTCGCAAAAAAAAGAAAACCTTTTTTCAAAAACAAAAATCTCCTAAAGAGATGCAGGCCCAGAAGGACAAAAACAGCTTTGAGTGAATCAGGCCTGTAACAGAGAAACATAAATACACAGCTGGTAGGCAGAGGTAAGTAATGTGCTGTAAACTTCTTCACAGGGTTTTAAAATGTTGAATCCAATTTTCAGCTCTATATGGTATAACATGCAAGAATCACAACAACCACAACCTCCCCCAAAAAACAAAAAAACAAAATAGCCACTTTGATCAAGGGCATAGTTTACAGTCAGAATTTTGCTTAGATTTTGTGTTTAAGCAAAATGTTTTATATCAGCTTCCACTCCATTGATAAAATGTCAGGTGAAGACTAATCACAGCTATCTAGATAGAAATTCCAGTATTTAAGTAATCTGATTTGTAAATGCCTTCCAATGCAAAAAAGACCAAACAAACCCAAACTCATGTAATTTTAACACAATACCTGATTGTATGTAACTATGAAGTCCCTTACACTTATGGCATCTAAAAGAGTGTCATTCTTTATTTCTACCGTTATTTCTCCGTGAGTCACAGAGCCCTCTGATGGCCAGTACTGGAAGCATTTTTCCTGCAAAATTGAAAGAGAATTATAAATGTTCCTTGAAAGTTTTTCCAGTTATCCAATTTTTCATGAGTCTCCAATATAGGAGGGGTCATAATAAACGTGTTCCAAATACTTTGGAGTGAACTGGGTAATAACCCCTTGGTTTATATAGCAATAAAATATTTCCACAATATAGGCCATTAGGATAAAAGGGATTCAGAGGTTAGGGGTAGTAAATATTGCTTTATAAACAGATTACTATAAAATTAACACCCAAATGGGTTGTAATGTTTTTAAAAAGTCTCCCAAAAGCAAACACCACCTCCCAGACCCATACTGAAACATGCCGACCGCAGGGGCAAGCCCTCAATCTTCAGCACTGCAGCAGAGCGGGATGTAGGATTTCACTAACGGATGACAGAAGAGAGTATTAGGTGAGGTTCAGAATAAGCCACTGGAGCTACATGCTGCCAAAGCAGCGAGGGAACCTGTCAGGAAAGCTGTGCCCAGCTATTCTCCAGTCCAAACCAGCTATCCAACAGGCGTCCGCTTCAGGTGTCTACCTGGGTTGTGCCTTTGAGCGCAGACGGGGCCCGTTTACAAAGCGTAATTCTCAGTAGTTTAGGTGGATTTTCTGTCAGTTCAAGCAAAAGAAGCAAAAGTGGCCTATGCCTCAGAGTGAGGCAGCAAGTCAAAAAAAATCTTCTGTTACTAGGATTTGCAGGCAACCAACAGTTTATCTACCAATGACGCTTGTATTTATTGCATTCTAAAACCACGAGCAAGGCTGACAACTGTTAATGGAAACCGCTTTGCTCGAGAACGAGAAACCGCGCGACTCACACCTGCTCCCTTTCCTGAACTTCTGTGAGCATAACTATAGTGTGACACTTCCACTCCCAAACCATTCGCCAGAAATCCTCCACGGTGTGCGGCAGCGGTCCTTGCGTGGCAATGAAGTAATCCTTCTGGCGATAGCCCTGCACGGAAAGAACACTCACATTTATACTACGAACCGTTAGGCTCGTTTCAAGGCTGGGGCGTTATTTTCAACGAGCCTCCAGAATATAACCCCAGCTTTATGCAAGCAACTGCGCCCCTCAACAGACAACTGATCAACGTTTTCAAAGCGTTATAAGTTATGGAAAGGGAAGTAATAACAAATATGTTTTAGTCACTTCCCTTATTCTAGGGAACGGAGTAAGGTAGAATCCAGTTTTAGATGAGTCCAAGAGATGTAAAAATGTTAAAATACTTAAAAGCATCCCCTTGGATTCATATCAGTTTTTACAGGACAAAAAAAAAGTGAAGTAAAACTGAACAAAGAAGGTGATCAGCCACCAAAGCCATCACGGTACTCACTGGACCACTCTTTTGATAATCATTTTATTCTTAAGGCTTTTTTCTTTTTTTAAATAGCGTCAATGTTGGGAAAAAGAGAGAGGAACAGAGACATAAAAAACTGGATGAGGATGAAGCCTGAACTGCTCCCTTGCTTAGAGACAGGCTGCTGCTGTTTTCAAGCAGGAAAAGCTAGCAAACCTTGCATGTGAGTTGCAAAGATCTGCCTCGTGGCCTCCACCAAGCTTGGTATGCAGATAACCGGGTGTTTGGGTCCTGGAAGCTGTCAGGCCCCTGCAAGAGCACTGCTGCCCCTCAAATGGAGCAGAAGAAAAAGCGACTGAAACACTGCAAGTTTTCTGTTACAGCAGAACACTGCCCGACTCGACAGGTAAAGTGAGTCTGGGAAGCGGTCTAGTCTGCTGTTAAAATGCCAGACTAGGAGAAGCTCTTTGAAGAACCGAAGGAATATAAGTAACGAGTGACAGAAGTTGATACTTGGAAAGGCTATGACACCGTTTCTCTCTGAGCGCTACTTAAACTGGTAAGTTTAAACAGGCCGTTTCATAATCTGAAGGCTACCTCAAACTCCCTGCACGCGGTTGTGGCGCAGAAGCTACAAAACATCCGATTCTTGCTCGCTGCCAGAAACGCAGTAAAAAAACACCCAAACTCTTAATGTAAAAGGCACAGTCATGAGATAGAGAAAGACACATTTTTGATACAACCTTTTTAGGTGAACCATGACAGTATTTGTATTCTAGAAGCGTGCTTAAATCACGGTTAAATTAAGCATTTCATTCCAAAAGGAAGTTAAAATAAGAGCATAGTTTCAGGCTGGTCGTTGCATATGACGAGGTTTCTATCCAGCTAACCCTTGGGATAATTTGTAGCGCACGAGATAGGAATGATTACGCAACATGAAGTGCCACCTCGAAGATGCCACCACTCCAGGCTTCCCCTTCCCTTCTGCCAACCGGGTGCCTGAAGTTAGATGATTTGAAAAACACGTATGTAACCAGCAGTTTGAAATTATTCCTAACGAAAAGGCATGTGAACTGCAGAGGAATGTCAGATGTTAAAGCCTGGGGGCTGGGGAAGCGCTTGAGAGCATGAGATGAACACAGTGATAAGGCAGAAGTGACCCCACTCTAATCATGCTAGAAAATAGCTTTATTCTGATTTTACTGGAAAAGAGGACAATCGGTTCCTACAATTCCCTGTCCAGGTGGGTTCACCTTGTCCACCTTCAGAAAAGATGATTCATAATTCTGAGTCATACTTGATGACTTTTTACGGTCATGGCTGAAGGAGTCAAAATCTGCAGTGCTAGATAACTGAAAGGGTTTTACCACGAGAATATTAAAGACCGTTAACAACTGCAGTTACTGGCCTTACTACAGAATTAACATATAACTCACTTTTTGAGCTACAGTTCTATTTACATACGGATGTGATCTTCGTAACGAGTATCCAAGATCCTCAATCTCTAATAGCGTTTCATTGCTCAAGGATATAATTAATTCTCATATTTAAATAAAACTGAAACACAATAGATGGTGCTGCCCAAGCTTCCAGCGGCAAGGCAGTAACAAAGTCGGGAACTAAGCCAGGTCTCCCCAGGTAAATCAGAGCTCCCAAGCACCATGATACCCTCTTCCCATACTAAGTAAGCAGGTTTTTTGCTTTGCAAGTCAGCAAAGTGCATGCTCAGTATATTTGTTAACCTGCGTGCAGATAACGGCACAGTTAGTTCCATTACAACTGCTAGTTGTAGAGCTAATTAATCTGTTGCACTGTTTGTTTTTTAGGATTTAATTAAAAAAAACCCTTCAGTTTATAAATCTAACCACAACAAGAATGTGTAAATTACATAACTATTTAAACTGAAATTGAGAACATCAGAGTAAGGTAAGAAATGCACTCGGAAACGTTCATAAGCAAAATCAGAACAAAAACATCCATGTTCTTCATAAGCAAAGGTGACAGTGCCTCTTCAGCAACAGCAATATATTTGACTTTCAGTTTAAATAAGTTACAATTTTCATACATACATCTATGAAGGATGCATTGATGTAGTCTGTATACTCTTGACCTCTTTTCATTGACAGAATCACTCTATTAAAGTCATCTGAAAAATAAAAGCAAATTCTTTCTTTTGCTAACTGTACGTTGACTGCCCCATTATTACGTTTGTGAAAGAACAACAACAACAAAAATAATTGCGTCTGAAAGCCAGAAAGAATGACTTAAAGGTCTTATCCAGGATTTACTAAGCGCATGGGGTTTCTGTTGGTTTTCTGTGTATGGTTTTCCATTCACACAGGACACGTCCAGCAAGTTTGGAAACTTTCACTTTCACATGCAGACCTTACAGCCTTGCTCAAGACTAGGCAGGGAATCACAGCAAAGCACAGAACGCGTGGCTGTTGAAAAGGTGGAACTCTCAATTATTTCATTCAGACCTGAAAAACATCTGAGCATAATGTATTTTTACACTGAGAAAGTAAAAAAAAAAAATAATGCAGCAAAGCCAGAATTAATCGCTTGCAGACATTTTGCAAGGACACCGAGATGCTGCTGTAACTCTCAGGTAAGTGCTCCAGAATCTTTAGAACAGGCCTGCCTGCAAAGGAGGCGGCAAAGCCAAAGGGGAGGCTAACGCAAACCTGTCCTGGCGAGAACAGAAGCACAGCTACCAGGCAGGGCAGTACCACAAGGTTTTGAAAGGACGGGACTTATTACCGGCAGAAGAGTTCAGTCTTTTTCTCTAGAAAACATTTCTAGTAATTATTTGCAGAACTCCAGTTTCCAAGTCCGGGCTCTGCTCTCGAGTTCATCCCAACACAGGTGCAATCTGATGCGAGAGGCGTTGTGCATCATATACTGCTAATTTTTACTTACGACAACATTACAATAATCATATATTGATAACACTTGTTTCTACAGATACAAAATCGATCTTACATGGAATAATCTGGATGACTCTAGCTTTTTTCATATTTGCTGGAAGATTGCCAGTTCTCATGTTTTCCTTCATTATTCGAACGTTTGTTAATTTCTGTAACAAGACACGCAAATTCGGGTAAGGACTAACTGAAGCAGAAGTAGTAATTTTTGCACAGTAAATGTCGTCAGAAGCTCTAAAGTAACGCAGGGCAGTTAAAGTCCGAGCATATTCCAAACAATGATCACAGAAAGCCAGCAGTTTGGGTTTCTCCATTTGGGTTTTCTCTAAGCAGAAATGCTAGAGAGGCAGTGCAGGACCTGAAAACTCGCAGTAATTCGCTCTACAGCCCTGACTAAGTTAACATTTCTGTAAATTAGGCAATCCAGCTCCATTTTCCAGTATTATCTGCTCTGGCATCTAGCATATGACCAGAAGAATAGTTCCATTTTACTTTTATAATCAAAAATGAATGACTGTATATAGGAAAAGCTTAGTAAAACGATGTAGTCTTCAATAAGCATTTCTACGAACAGAAGGTTAGAGCAAGGCCCCAGGAATTGTCCCCACAGGTTCCACTCATCACAGGCACAGCAGAAAATAAACAAGTTGTTCAGTTTGGAGAGGCTCCTTGGTTTTTTTTGTTTTTTAAGGTCATACTCTCCCCATTTTTGAGGTATCTTTTTGGTCGAAATGTTGAAATCTTAAGGCAAAGGCCTTCCATACTTACTTTAAATTCTTCTTCCAGCCCTATTTTGACAAGATTTGGCGCTGTACTGTGTGATGTTTGTAGATGTTTTTCTAAGGATGACACATCTAGTTCTGTGTCACCGTAGAGGTAGTATTCAAGTAAGGCTTGATAAATGAATGAGTATTGCATCTGCAATGAACAAAAAACAGGCACATAAGTATACCGAAAGGAAGGAAGTGAAACTGTATCACACTTGGCACTTCCTCTTCTCTCATTTGGTTGACAACCATCAAAACGGTTGAAGCTAAAACAGGGTTTTCTATTATATCACTCACATGCCATACAATTCAATCCTGCTATGTATGGGGAAAACATGGACGCGACTGCTAAATTAAACGTGCCTTATGGTGGTCTTATCACAGCCCTAACTTGTCTGTATCTTCTTCCCCAACCTTCTCCTTCCACCGGCTTTTGTTCAGTTTGCAATAATCCAGCTGCGTGACAGAACAGGAAATACTATATCCCAGAGTGGGGATATAGTGGTAGGTGCTACTTTAAATTTGAAAAGAGGTAATTCCAACCAAAAAGGCTACTTACATCAGTCTGAACCATTTGTGGACGCTGATTGCGGATTCTTGACACAAACTCAAAAACATCAACTCTCTGTTCAGCATGCATCATGTCTATTATAGCATCTATAACGATAAACGTGCCGGTTCGACCCACACCAGCGCTTCAAAAGAGAAAAAAGACACTTACATGAACTACAGAGTCTTCGGGAATTGCTACAGCAATGACATAGGTAGAACTTGGGCTGTTTATACCGGACTGAAACACTGGGAAACACAAAGTGTCATTTTTGACTTCAATAGTGATATCCTTACTACAAAAGGATCCCAGATTTTAACAGAAAAAGTCACCCTTTTTCCAGCTCAGAAAAGGTAAGATCAAAATTTTTTTCAGAAAAGACCTTTGGACAAAAAATCTGTATTTGATCATCTATAATTATTCAGTCTAAGGAAAGGATGGAATTTTAAATATTTTTTTTTAGATCCTTTTTGTGTGGTTGCTGTTGCACGCTACTTTGAAAACGGTAAGTTGTTAACAAGTTCTACACTTTTCAATATAGCTGTCCCAAAACACGGGTTTACATATCCTTCAACAGCCACGAGAGGGAGCACGATTATTATAAATTATACTACTTGAATGCCTTTCAGCTCTTCCTTTCAGAGGAAAAGGGCATGGCATCCTGTGCTAGGCATTAATAGCTCTCCTTTAACCTTCTGTTAGCTTATTTTATACAGCAACTGCTGTAACGTCAGAGAAACACCTTCCAAAACATGGCAAAAATTTCTCCCCTCATCCTGGTGTTCCCAAAGATACAGACTAACTTTCAGCAAGGAACAGTAAGTTTTAACATCAGAAAAACTAACTGCATGCATAGTGCTACTTAGTTCATACGGATATGTACGTACACACGCATACTCGTAACAGCAAGTGCTACGTAAAAACCAAAAAACTATTTCAAGGCTGCTGAGCTACGTCCGCTGAACCAAGCAGGCAAATCAAGTAACTCAGCTCCCCACTGAAAGTTCTTCACAGTGAAAAGTCCCGTTGCAACCTTCTACCTCCAAATTCCTTTACGTTTAATCATGGATTTGGCAGGTTCTTCTCCTTTCCCTCATGCTTTTCCCCTCTTTGAGCCACTTCCTTTTCTCCCATTCCCACCGCTGTGACCTCCCCTCGCTCTGGGGCTACTACTCACAGAGGGCTGCTCGCACCTTCGGGGCAAAGCTTGCCTCCCTTCGCCTCTCACTTCCTTGCATTCATACTTGACCTCTACCGCTGTGGATGAGTCCACCTCAGTGTCTCCTACTTGCCTGACTCACAGTTTAGCAGATATTTTCCTCTTCCGGTGCTGGAAGCCACCTCTGAGCATGGTTTGCTCATCTTTGGTTCCCACTTGCCCTTTACGTACACCCGCCGAGCCCTGCTCTCCACCCTCGCTTTGCTTCCCGACTTCTCTTCCCTTGCAGACACCATCCCTTTTTCCAGATCTATCTTCCCTCGTGCACTTAACTCTTTCACCGCCTCAGGGTTACCTTACCTCAGATCTCAAACCTCGCTCCCTCAAACCTTGCACGTTCTTGCTAAAGCTGGTAACGTCATCAACCCTCATTGGCACTTGCCTCAAAACCTCACTGATTTTATCCATCTTTACCCTCCTTTAGGGTCTCCTTTACTCCGTTATTCCTCCTCAATTTCTCTCTCTGCTTGAGAGAGTAACATTTGAAAAAATGTATTTTGGGAGAAACTTCCAACGCCCCCTCCACATTTTCTCTGCTGTTCTTTACTTCCAGATGCTAAATTAGCCCTTCATTAACTTAAAAGTTTCCAACTGAGCTGGTTTTGTTTAGAATGACTGGATGACGTTTTTCTAAAGGCTCACTCAAAAATGCACAGTTACTATCGATGAGTTTCCCTTTCCTTTTCCCAACAATTCAATAGTGTCATATCCTGAGCGGTAAAGGAAATTAAGTGTCACCTTTTTCAATCTTTATTTCTAAAGCATACGGAAGTACCGTACTAGTCCCAAACACTGATACGTAACGGTGCTATTGCATTCTGTTGGATCATTACATTTAAATCCCCGCACATACGTAATGAGAGACGTTTTGTTTTCACCATTTCTTACCATTAGCTACTTCAGTTAATCAGTCCAAGTACAAAACGTCCTCCAGGTGAAAAATAAAGCTCAAATCCAGTATTAATCTCCACTAACATCACAGAAAAAGGCTGTATGAGGGTTTTCATAGGAAAGACTATGTGAGACAACTAAAATCTTATTTTTCCTTCTTAAATTTTGCTTTAAAGACCCTTATGAATTCTAACACAGCACGGTCTGTGTGGAAACAAAGAAAGAGCAGGCTGGCTGGTCACGACAAACTTGCTCTTTCTCAATGGGGCACAGTGAACCTTCAAAGACTCTTTGAGAGTATTTCTAGATGTCTAACCTAAGCAGCAGCAAAGAATGAAATGCATGAATCTAAAACCATTTGCTCAAAAACACAGCCCAGAAAGACAAAGCTGTTATTCTTTTCTTTTGATTCTAATCTCAATATGATAATGGTTCCTGAGAAGACACTTCTTGTTTCAGTGTAAGCCTACAGTTGCTATAAAGATTGTAACTATTCTTTTAAAACTGATTTGGAGTTTGTTTGTTGTTTTACTAATGTTAGATTTCAAAGAGTTTAGCACAAACCTTCAATAGCAGCAAGCTCATGCATTTGTTATTGAATGAGTACGAACATATTCTACATTGGTATGCAGTACGTCTTCAGAATTGCAGCATTTAAATCTCTTAACTGAAAGTCTTTATTTTAAAATTTCTAGGCACTTAATGGATAATTTACATAGCAAACTGTAATTTTATTGTGGGAAAAGTGAGGGGTGAATTCTCAAAGGAGCATTTAGCGGCAAAGGTCACAGATCTGTATTACAAGTCTCCCTTTCTGACAAAGAGCATATTTATGCCAAAGACTGGATCTCACTCATGGATAAAAAACTTCTGTTTCAGTATTAAAGTGGTAGCAAAGACAGATCTTAACAATCTGAATTTGTTCTTACTCCAGGCTCTAAAAAAAGCTTAGCATATTATTGCAACTATTTTTTTTTTAAACAAACTTTGTAGTCTTCAACAGAGAATAAATATTTAGCCTTGGCATTTTATACACAATTTCAGCTGAGAGAGTGGCTTAAAGAGCATATACATACCTACAGTGAACCACAATTGGTCCGGCATGGGCAGGATTCAACGTTTTGACTTTTTTCAGAAACTTCAGCATGCCAATAGGGGTGAAAGGCACTCCAAAATCAGGCCAGCTGGTAAAATGAAGCTGTGTAACCAGCCTCGGAGCTTTACAACCGTCATGAAGCTGCTAGGAACACACAGGCTCTGAGCTTGACATTTCATGTTTCATGCAAACAGTTATAAACAAATCACTCTGGTTAGTTATTTACTTGTATTCCTCCAACATTTAGATCCCGAGCCAAAGATTAGGAGTTTACAGTGCACGTACAATGCAGAGTAAAATTACCGTATAATATTTTTTTCAGTGAAAACTAGAATAATCCCAGGATAGGATACAAGAAGAACGAGCTTCACAATTTATGTTAACGATGGATCAAACCTGAAGCCTTTTTTTCCCACTTATCAAATCCTTATGATACTTCTTTTAACAGCCTCAGATGACACTCAAAATTTGGTCTAAAACTTCAACATCTGCGTCAACCATGAGATGCAAAATGCCAACTTTTACAAGCTGTTCCATAATGAAAAGGCTAAAGATATGGATACACATCTAACAATGCCTTAGAGGCCAGTTATGAGTATGACTGTGTTGAATCTCGCCAGCCTATATTATGCATGAAAAATGAAAAGAGTTACACCTCTAATGGCCAACTGCTGACAGCTTCAGAAACTGACGTGCTCTTTAAGTCTAAAGAGGAGACACTGCGGAAGCAGTGGCAGTATAGCCACAGCATTCTGCTTCACCTGCACTTATCAACCACCGTCTATTCTTAAGCTCAGAAGGTAAAAATAGTCTCCAAGGCCAGTCAACCCCTGCCTTCTTTTTTTTTTTTTCCTCCTTTCTTTTTTAAGGCTGCTAGCCATAGTGCTAATCAAGGCCATTTATTTCAGTTCGGGGGACCGGTTTGTTTGGTAAACCTACGCGGTCTCCATCAATGGAGAACCAAACCTTACAAACACACATTCAGTACAGATCAACATGGGAAAGGCATCCACTTCCATTCATAAACTGTCCAGCCCTTCAGCTTTTCTACGGTACTTTTACTTCTTTACTGTTACATCTTTCCCATTCTGCTATCTGAGCACAGTTTCAACGAGCATTTTTATCAGCAACACCTTATCAGCGATCATTAGTCCCACTAAAGCAATCTCCACGTTGAATCAGCAACGAACTCTTTACGCTTCAGAACCTGTATCTAAGGCTGAACGAACCAACACACATTTTTTTGAGGAATTCACTAGCTCTCCCTGTACCTCTGCATGGCCATCATGGTTTAGCACCTCTCTTTAGGCCCAGTAGCTGACCTAAATACTATGGGTGAACCTGGAGACTTTAATTTGAATTGGGTCGTCATTACAGTACAAACACAACCCTCCCTTAACAGGTGAGGATCTCGAGGAACTTGCGCCCCTTACAAGACTACACAGTGGTGACCTATACTAAGTCACCACCACTGACCTCTCTTATGGTCTTTTGGATACAGATAAAGCTTTAACTTGTGCTTAAAACCAATGATACGGCAGAAATCAGGAAGCTCTAATACTGTCTGACTTTGGCCAGCTAATATCCATAGACTACTCCAAATACCCATATATAGCCACATTTACTTTTTTTTTTAATCTATGCATTTTGTCCCCTAAAAGGTCAGAACACCGCTCCTATGCTCCCTTCCCTGACAACCCAAATGTCTGACTTTGATGGCACGTGGCTACAGAAAAGAACAAAACTGAGAGAAACCAACTACAATCCATTGAGTTGTGGCAGACAATAAACGGACCGTCACGTAGTGCTTGCCCGCCTGCCTCTAGGCGGTGCAACACCTTTCTTGATTTGCAAATATATTGAACTAATTTTCTAAATTTCTTTTAAGCAAACATGTTACATTGTAACAATTTGCTTTAAAAATTTAAGTGAAGACCCCGCAAGAACGCTGCTACTTACTGACTGAACGCAGAATTTGCGGATGGTGTAGTCCACAAGGACTATACAATCTTCCACTGAGACGCGGATATTTCCGTAAGTCCAGCACCCTTGATCAGGCCAATATTGATAACATTTGTCCTGTATAAACATACAGTCTGTTTTATAACACTGAGACCAATTTCCTTATTCATTACGCACAGAATAATACAGTTATTTGAAACTAATGTACGTAAGTCTTTATATGAGTTTATAGAGTGCAATTATCTGACACAATACGACTTTAACACTTTGCTCAGACTATTGATGCTTTAATTTACACAGAGAAGGGTAAGAATAACCTTGTATTTTTTTTTTTTTTAATCAGACAGATCTGAACAACAACTTTTTTTTTTTTTTTTTTTGGCTTGGGCGTTTGGGAGGCTTTCTGACAGTAGGGAGTGGACATTTTGATATCTTGACCCTTTACTTTTAAGCTTTAGGTGCAGTTAGTGAGAAATGAGGTAAGGTAGTCCTCATGTAGGAGTCATCAGAAACATCAAGTTTTAGCAGCTCTGCCTTCTCTTATTAGAAACAGGCTCTTACGGACTGCCTGTGCTGTTTTGAGCTTAGTATGGCAATACTACAATTGCCGTAAAATAAAGTAGGAGTACCACCTTGAATAGGCAAAAAAGGAATGCCTTTCCTCATAACTGCTCTCAGCTCAGAGTCTCTTGATTAGCTTTTCTTTATTGTTGTAAAAATGCACAAAATAGTTATAAAAGCATACTTTTAAACACTGATACGGTGTATCAATTATCACAAATGCTCCTTCCCAAGGAAGGTGAACTATTGGACTTCATCAACGTTATTTCACAATTGGCAGGAGAGGTCACCCTTGAGCAGTGGAAAAAAGGTAGAGTTTCCAGTAACTAGACAGTATTCCCTCTGCTCCATCTCCTTGCTTTCACAGCTACAGGGGAAATCAAGGTTTATTTTTTTGGGTATATGTTTTTGAGAACTTTACATATTTCAGCTGAGGATGTAGCATGATCAGTATAGCAAATTGTCCCCATGTAAAAAAAAACAATTAAAAAGCATCTCTTATCAAGGGTATTTCTGATGGTGCGTTTCGTTATTTTTTTAACTTAGTTTCTTTAATCTGTGAAGCAAAGAGGTTAAATGCATTAGCATTTTAGTAAGTGTCTCCGTGTTCAGCCAACACTCTTAGAAAGCCTAACACAACAGGAGGAGAGGACGAGTAGGGGGGGAATGTGGGAACACGAAGCAACAGAATTACTCTCACAAGAAAGGAGGGTTGTTTTCTAATTATTAATTGCATGTGCCAAAAAAATCATTTTGAAACTTAACACTTAAAAAAAGAATAATGTTTTAATCTTCATTTCTAGCCAAAAAAGTGCAAGTCCAGCCTTACTTACACTGTGACAAAAGCAAAGCCGCAAGAATTTGCCTTTGGCTCTGACAAGTGGGCTACGCAGGACAAAATTACCATCAGATATTTTTCCTTGATATCTACTTACAAAAACTTGTATTTTGGAAATTAAAACTATGTTTTTTAGCAGAAACTCAGATGTGCTGAAAAGGACTGGGAAAGGAAGTGCTTAGGAATACTAATGGCCAAATGCTGAGCTGCCCCAGACTGCTCATTTTTGGAACGGTCTTTCTCAGAGAGATCCTAAATCAGACTGGAAGTTACTTACCTCTTTTCTTTCTTTCAAGTTTGTTAACATGACGATCACTGCAGACTTCTGTTCCCATATCATCCTCCAGAAATCATTGACTGTTTCTTGTTTAGGTCCTGAATATACAGAATACATTTAAGAGACATAAAAAGACCAGGATCACAGCTCACTTGCTGCTGCTGCACACCAGGTGCCCACCCACAGCTACAAAATCCCCAGCTTTTGAATATACCAGATATTCCTTAAAAATATATATATTTTCTTTTACATGCATGCACACATAGTTTATTTTACGCACTGAGGCTTTTACTGTATTATGTGGGCTGCGTAATTTCTAAGAAGTCACTGAAACACTGGTAATCCCCATGAGGTCCAGCAGGAGGGCACAGCCAAACGGCTCAGATGGGATGGAAAAGGATGATTTGTCATGACACCGCCCTCTCCCTATCTGCTGTGACATGATTTTTCCTCTTTCAAACCCTCAGTAAGTGGTTGAGGGGAAAAAAAAAGAAAGAAAAGAAAAAGAGAGAGAGAGAGAGAGAGAGAGAAAGAAGCACACCAGGGAGGGGGAGCAAGGGGAAAGGGAGTCTCTCTGCTAAGGAGAGGAGCAGAAACTTCAGGTCTAAGGGCAGCAGGTTACTGTACGCTCACTTCCATTTCATTTGAACTGTCACCTCTAAACCCCATTGAGTATTCGGTCATCATCTGCATCAAGACATTTCTAATGTTACACATTTTAGTCATAAAACGTACACAGTAGAGGGATGGAAATTAATTACCTTGTGCTGCTATAAATTTATTCTTTTCTTTGTAACCCTAAGGAAATAAATATCATGGTAGTTAAAAGATGAAATGCCAACGTGTGCTAGAAGACAATTACCTATTTAATATTAATTTCCAGTCAAAATTAGCAGTTTGGCTAACAGTGGGAACTGTCAACTTACATCTATATAAGATGCATTAATGTAGTCTGAAGATGGGACTCCATCTACTTGGGTCAAAATCACTCTGGAATGATCATCTGGAAGAAAACGCATTACAAACGAGTTTACATCAGAGCTACAGTATTTGAAGCAATCCGAAATAAGTTAGTTCTTGGCCAGTACCAGGGCAAGGAAAGCTCCACTAACAACTGTGTCGCAAAACACAGGTCGAACGTTGCTACCACACGGGTGCTCACTAGCTACTCCCCACGAGCCGAATCCCGTCGCCTACACAGTGATGGGGTCTGGTGTCTCTCAGCTTCATTTGAACGCCAGTCGCATGTTGTTCCCAGCTCCAATTTAGAAAATTTTGCCATAAAAATCTTGCTCTGCTCCCACACCTGAAGGTCACTGCGACTGCATCTGGAGAATACTGGAAACCCAAACTGGCCCATATTTTATTGCCCCAAGCTCACCTGAGACACTGAAATACCAGTGGGACATACTCCAATTTGGCAGAACTCCTTCTAAGGCTTTATATCACAGCACCCCATAACCATTAAAGAAAAGCATAACGGATGACGATCATCAGCTAAAGAGACACCATAGCCAAAGAAACAGTTTTTGCGCAAACAAATATATAAAGAACAATTGTGATCAATGAAATTATATTGCTGGGATGGTTCCAGCAAAGGAGCATTACCAGAACGCTCAGGGCCAGACGGACAGTTAATTGGCTGATTTAAATAAAAGGTAACGTCTTACAAGGAAGGATGTTAGGATATCTGTTCTTATCCCTGTTTTCTTCCTTATTTGCCATTTCAAACGTTCCCTGCACATGTCCAGGTGTCAACGACTAAAAAAGAAAAAAAAAACACCACACCCAAAGTCAGCATGTTATAAAATATCTAAATGTCACCTGCGCTTGGCTTATAGAAAAGCTGCATTTATATATAACGTCTTGCATCCAACAGAATTAAACTTTTTTTCTTTTTAAACAAAGTAACTTTCTCTCATTAATCTAAAATCGCAAATGATGTGCTGGTAGATTCCACCACAGAAAACTAGTTCAGCAGTTTTGAAGGAATATGTTATTTTTCCACCAGCGATTGCAGTTATTCAGAAAAATGTCAGAATGGGAGTTTCTGCTTTAAAATGCCATCTGTGATTCACAGGGCTGTGACCCAGCCACGTGGATACGGATGCATCACTCTATAGAGCTCTGCTTCGATACCTACTTTTAGCAATAACATTTTGGGACACAAACGGCGTTTCGACTGCTAATAGCTCAGTGTTCAGAACATTAAGCATCAAACGTCTTGGTGCAACCCAGAGGCGAGGGCAGAGCTCTGGCAGAAAGCGGGGAGAGGAACGTCACGGCTCTTTCAGGTTGAAACTCACCGTTAAGAACCCAATTCTGCTGGTAATCAGCTAGATCTAAGATTACAGATAAATTTAGTCATGTGCTAACTTAAAAAAAAAAAAGTCTTGCAGAGCAATCTAATGAAAATAAGAGGCAGAGAGGAAGACGTTTCAATCTGAGGATGAAGAAGGGTGATGAACAAAATTGCGGGCATCTGATCTTCCCATCTCCGCAGCACTGGGACTGCTGAGCCACCACTTCTGGCATTGCGGCCGTTGCCCATGACAGGCAGAGCTTGGGCACTGCAGAAAAGCCCATGGAAACGCCACTTATTCCGCCCCCTTAGGGGTTGCGGCTGCTACGGAAAAAGCCCACATGAGCGCAAGAGAGATGGCTCTGCAAGAGGAGCTGCATGAGGCTCCCCATCCACTACGCTCACCGTAAGGAGATACGAAAACAAGAACCGAGCCGCCTCAAGCTGCTCACATTAAACTCCTAGAAAAGGTTTGTGCGTTGTGTCACACCGAGGTAAAGCCCCAACTGTTCCGGGAACGCAGAACCGCCTTCTCCCATCCTCCTTTTACTTCTCCACCTCCCACAAAGCTGGTCACACCAAAATAGTCACTCTTCTGAATCACTCCAGGGAAGGGAAAAATGAATCACAGAATCACACAGAATCACAGAACGGTTGAGGTTGGAAGGGACCTCTGGAGATCATCTAGTCCAACCTCCCTGCTCAAGCAGGCTCCTCTACAGCATATTGCCCAGGATCACATCCAAAAGGGTTCTGAATATCTCCAGGGAAGGAGACTCCACCACCTCTCTGGGCAACCTGTTCCAATGCTCTGTCACCCTCACAGTGAAGAAAGTTTTTTCTCAGGTTTAGATGGAACTTCCTGTGGTTCAGTTTCTGCCCGTTGCCTCTTGTCCTGTTGCTGGGCACCGGTGAGATGAGTCTGGCCTCATCCTCTTGACAACCTCCCCTTCAGATACTTGTAGACATTGATGAGATCGCCTCTCAGTCTTCTCTTCTCCGGGCTGAACAGGCCCAGCTCCCTCAGCCCTTCCTCCTAGGAGAGATGCTCCAGTCCCCTCATCATCTTTGTAGCCCTCTGCTGGACTCTCTCCAGTAGCGCCATGTCTCGCTTGGACTGGGGAGCCCAGAACTGGACACAGTACTCCAGGTGAGGCCTCCCCAGGGCTGAGGAGAGGGGCAGGATCACCTCCCTCCACCTGCTGGCAACACTCTGCCTAATGCACCCCAGGATATCATTGGCCACCTTGGCCACAAGGGCACACTGCTGGCTCATGCTTAACTTGTTGTCCACCAGGACTTCCAGGTCCTTCTCGGCAGAGCTACTTTCCAGCAGGTCAGCCCCCAACCTGTCCTGGTGCATGGGGTTATTCCTTCCTAGGTGCAGGACCCTGCACTTGCCTTTGTTGAACTTCAGGAGGTTCCTCTCCGCCCAGCTCTCCAGCCTGTCCAGGTCCCAAAATGACGACGTCTTCGCATCAAGAACTAGCTTAAAGCAGCTCTCCCTGCTTGCCTCTCCTGAAACATTGCTTGGAATTTCCCCTTAAAAGCAGAAATCAGTATTGCCAGGGTTGCACAGGGTTTGCAGGGTGAAAGAAGGGGAGGAGGAGAGGACTCCTCAACTACCATAGAAAAAAATAGTAATTTGCATTTGTGGGTTCTTTTTTTTTTTAATACCACTAAAACTTTTGAATGCAAGTAAAAGAAGAGAGAAAACTAAAAAAAGAGAGAGAAAGGGTTAAAAAAAGGCTACTAGTTAAAAAAGCAAGCTACTTTTGGCAAACTAATTAATTCTTTATTTGAATGCAACCCATACTTTTCCTAATTAATATATACACACAATATACAACACAGAAACGCTGTACGCAGGTTTTAGAACCCCAGAATTTATATTTTGTGCAAAAATAAGTAGTTAGCACTTCTCCAAACATAATGATTAAGCTTCAAAAGTCAGGCAACAAACTCCTAACAAGCAAGCATCTAGTTCTGCATCTTCCCAAGAAGAATGCATGAAAAGAGCGCATCAAATTGCTTTCTGCTGCAATAACCTCTCCCTTCTCAAAAACAAAGGGGTGAAAAGGAAATCAGAAATCTCTGCAGGCTACTACAGAATTTCCCCTTCGACAGAGGCTGGTTTGGCAGGGTTTAGTCCCTAAAAACCCATGGATCACGCATGGCGTTGTTATGCGCTTCCCGTACTTCATGGACTCCACAAAATGGGTATGGTGTTCGTTTCTTGATTTCATTCCTACTTCAGGATGATAACTCTTCCTCATGCTCAGATAGGACAACGGTGGAAAGCTATTTCAGAAGACAAGCAGCGTTTGGGTAAAATAAGCCTACATTCACACTGCAATGTCCCCATGTTAAAAACTTAAGCTTGAGCCTATGGAGTTCAGCAGAGCACCACGCTCGAAGCTCAGAGCTTGCACAGCGCAACCTGGGGCACGGGGGAAAAGAAAAGGTCCCACAAGGAGAAAAGGTCCACAAGGAGATGTTGCGGTCCATGCTTGCGCCTTAGTTCTGTGAGCCCCGAATATCTCCCTAAAAGCTTGGCAACATCATGCTGGGAGCGGGTTTTGAGCTGCTCACGCAGGGCTGCAGACTGTTCAGTTGTTTCTACCCAGCTCCAAAAGGGGACAGGGTGACTCATCTAGGATGTCCTTCACCATATCCTGTCTACCACCCTGCGAGTCACGGGGAGCCCAGGAAGCCCGGGCTGGGCTGCGTTACCACCCACCGCCACAGTCTCATTCCCTCGCACTTGGCAAGGGACCAGAAGCCGATGTCACGCTTCCGAGGGGCAGGAGCCGCCCCGGCATCAGCACGCCATGGCATTTTTTCCACTGCATGAAGCACCGCGACATCTTAACCAAGTCGAATTAAAATTTCTAAAGCAACTGCTGACAGACAGGTTTTCAGACATTCATCTGAAAACGGAGGCAACAGCCTAGCCATCATATCCTTCACCAACATATTAAGCCCATTTTGCATTATGCACGATAAATAGAGGTAAGACTTAACTGAAGGGCTCAAAAAAGGCACACGCTCATATTATTTTTTTTTGCTGTGAAGAAAGAAAACTATCTTCCTGGTTGCCCATCTTCATATAGGGAACAAATCATAAGAAATGAAACAACTAGAGGGTAGCAGGAGTCTCTGCTCTTTTAGTCAGTATATACAACGTATGCAATGCACTTATTAAGGATAATTTAGGCTTTAAGGATAAAAGCATTGAAGAAGAGAATTAGGCACATAAATCTAAGAGAACTGTCTTCAAAAATCCTTTCAGCTTGCTGCCTGTCTTAGTCTATCAGTGCCTGCTCTGCTTGGTTTCACCAGAAAAATCACTTGGAACCTAACTGCTTTGGCTAGGGCACGGGCTGAGACCCTGCCAGCTCGCCTAAGCCCCAACTCGGGCCGAAGTCTCCTTCAAACTCAAAGGCAGACATTCGGTTTCTACGGTCCTCAAGGAGCCTGATCCCCCTTGTCTGTTTTTACGAGAGATGACTGTCCCATGAAAATATTGTGAATTGGACAGTTTTGAGGAGCAGACACAGGTTTGACTCAGCAGGAGACCGGAGCCGATTTCAGAGCTTCAGCGTCGCGCTGGGCTTCAGCTCTCTAAGGAGAAAGTTGTCTCCAAATGTTAGGAGACTGCCCCAAACTCTCCATGCTCCAGCAGAAAGTTAATGGCTTAGTGCATACAAGCAGGCAAGACGATAGCCACATGATGGGGAACGCTAACACTGTGTTGCGCTGGGTTTTGGATGCACTGGGGTGTGGGTATTTGTGGATTTCTACAACATGCTATGCGAGTATAAAAATACATCTCGTGCTTTTGGAAGCTCAGGTTCACGATGAACATGGTGAGCAGCCTTCCAGCAGCTGGACCATGCAAGTGTCCAGACCTGCCTATAAGCTTTAGCCTTCCTTAAACAGGCAGCACAGGCTGTTTCACCCGAGTCACTAAATCTTTCCCAGTAATGAGTGGGTGAGTTTCTCAAGATTTCCTCTTTCTCAGCTGTAAGCAAACACTGATTTTTCAAAGGGCTGCATTCAGCTCTACTTTCTGTCCCAAGTTTAGCATTTACACAGTACATGCAAGATTTAGTGTTTGCATTCAGGTTTTGTCGTGATCTTTCCTCCTCCCCTTGCGAGGACGGTAGCCAGTCAAAGGATATACTGGGAAGTCAGGTTAGAAATTGTCCAGTGCCAAAGGGCACTGATTTTTCAACCACTGTCCTTCTAATACTGGAATGACAGACATGTCTTTATCAGTTTTCCTGTTGTTTGCTATAAAAGCGATCACGCCGATTTTCAGCTGTTTCTTTCTCTCTCTTTTCCCTCCTAGGCTGATAAGGTGCTCGAGCAAAAAGCACATATACTCGTGCAAGCAGCTACAGGCAACAGGGTTAATAAAAACCACCATCAAAGCAGACTGCAGTCACCACGAGCCTCAGTCACTTCCAACACGTGACCGTTCGCAGCTCCGGGTGCTGACCACAGCTTTCACACTCGGAGCTGCGTGCAGGCACGCACCCGGCTGCTCCCGGCACGCTGCAGCAAACCGACACAGCAGAGCAAAGAACAGCAGATCGCTGCCTTCACCCCGACTCCAAAACTCACAGGCGCCCATCTTTTAAAATTAGTTTTCCCATTCATTTGGCTTCGGTAAATATCTCCGCAATGCTCTCTCTGATAAGGCAAAGAAGTGATGCCTTTTCAATATGCCACCAAACGAGTTGCAGGCATAAATACGCTACCAGTTAAGAAAGGAGCTTAACAGACTGTCTAATCAACGCAGGCATTAGCTCTGACAACTCGACATTTAACGTTGAGGTTACAGCTCTGTGCAACCTGCTTCTGCTGGTAGAGGAAGCGAAGGAAGCAACAAGAGCACGGCAGCGGCGCCGCTGGGGCCACCTTCGCCGTAGGAAGCGGCCCGCGCTCAGCTGCGCACCGGCACGCAGCGCAGGCTCGCCGCAGGGGCGGAAAACGCCATCTCCTCTCTGACCGAGGAAACACTTTAAAGAAAAGCCTTAAAGTCAAGATCTGCCAGGGCAACAAGCGTTACACAAGGGGAAGCGATGGGATCAGAGCAAAGCGCCAAAGGTGACATTTTCAAGTAAAAACTCATCAGGGCAATGCTCATGTCAAAGGCCGCGTGCCCGTCTTCCTCTCCCCTAAGCACTCCCCGCGGGAGGGGGGCACTCACGGTCCCCAAAGATAAAAGATTTAAAAAAAGCCACGGAAATGCATATTCAATCCTCCCCCTCCTCTAGTTTTCAGGCAAACACTGAAGACCTTCTTGAAAAGGTAAAAGATGTCAAATAGTTTCACTATTGCAAATTCGCCCGGACAGCATCATGCTGCACAGTCAACCTCTGACACTGGGTCGGGAGGGAAGGACACCAGGGCAGGGCAGCGCGGGCGACTCGGCCGCCGTCAGAACGAGCCTGGACAACCTCCCCGTCCAAACGCTGGAAAAAGTCAGCGTGGGCGAAATATTACTGGCCCTAAACATCACGATACAAACGGCAGTTCTGCCTCCAAAACGAAGCAGCTAGACCACAAAGGTCTTGAAGAGCAGAGACGCAACGTGCCGGCGCACTCACGCACCACCTCCTGAGGCTGCGAGACATTTTCTAAAGAATTGTGCGTCAAGAAATCAGCAGCCGCTGATTTGCCGACTGCTTTTCCCTACGCGACGAGCCTCCACGCCGACGTGCGGACTTACGTTAAACTCCTCCCGGAAGAGTTTCCCTTCGTCCGCCGACCGGATCCTGATTTCTTCCTCAAGATTTTCTACTGGAATAGGAAAATACTTCTTTGGGCCCGAAGGAGACCTGCTGAGCAGCATCACTCTCTGCTGTTCTGTCAGTTCAAGGGAAATAAGGGTTAAAGGCACATTTACAGCAACAGACAAGCAGTGATTTCAGCTTACAAATTAATTTCGGCTGGAAGATGACAAAAGAGACTTCTGAAAGGAGACTTAAACCGGTGATAAAGCTGGCTCAAATAAAAGAAGAAAACAAAACCACAGGCCACGTGTCTTCACAGAGAACATAATAAATTCAAGTAGAACCACAACTGGTAAAATTAATGGTTTCGGTGTTTCCACCAGATTACAATACGGCCGAGCCAGCTGAAGAGACGCTGAGGAACATTAACGTCTCTGTTTCGTGGAAGAAGCCCAGACCGCTTCCCCGAAGCGGGCAACGACGGGCCGTCTTGCAGCAGCCCCGCGCTAAAACCTTCACAGCGAATGCATGTCCCGACCCGCTGAGCCAAGGCTCGACGAGCTCAGGAGGCCAGCGCACCTCCACAGCGGGGCGAGGGGGGAACTCCAAAACACTTGTCATTGGTTTAAAATACGTATCGCTGAACAGGAAGCTGCGACCGGGTTATGTTTAGAAGCCTGATTCTTTTCGCCGACTATCACGTTCTTTTCTAATCAGCTCTGCAGCTCGCATGCGGTGCCGGGGAACTGATGGCTCCTTCGGACGTCGCGCTCTCCTCTTCCTTACGGCATAAAAACCTATAAGCCATCTATCAACAATTCCTCCACGGCTGCGAGGCTCGAACGTCCCCCTGCTCCGCACGCCCAAGTACCAGCACACTCGAAACATCTACCGGAAAATATTTTCGGTGTCTGGGAACGTTTTCTTTTAGGGCGAAGGGCTCGCAGTCCTTCCCTGTCTCGCCTCCTTTTCTGTTTCTGTTTCTGCACAGGAACCAGTCCGTAATTTCACTAACGGTTCAGGATTTTTTTTTTCCCCCTCCCTTTTAAGAAGAAACACCGGAGTCCTCTCAATACAAGACCACAGTGCTGGAAATTTGGCTCTCAGTAATAAAATATTTAGGAAGAGTAACCACAAAGAAATATTTGCTGTATCACAGCTGAAACCGAAAGCTAATTAAAACCAACTGGAATATAAGGATTTGTTTTTTTTTTTTTTTTTTTTTTTTTTTTTTTTTTTTTTTTTTTTTTTTTTTTTTTTTTTTTTTTTTTTTTTTTTTTTTTTTTTTTTTTTTTTTTTTTTTTTTTTTTTTTTTTTTTTTTTTTTTTTTTTTTTTTTTTTTTTTTTTTTTTTTTTTTTTTTTTTTTTTTTTTTTTTTTTTTTTTTTTTTTTTTTTTTTTTTTTTTTTTTTTTTTTTTTTTTTTTTTTTTTTTTTTTTTTTTTTTTTTTTTTTTTTTTTTTTTTTTTTTTTTTTTTTTTTTTTTTTTTTTTTTTTTTTGAGACGCGGCGGCGGCAGAGTCCGAGAGCAGGCAACGCTTTGCGCCGCGCTGCACCGGGCGCCCGTGCCTCACCCCCCGCTGACGTAGGCTTTCATTTCCTCCTGCCAGCACATCAAAAACACGCCGGAGCCGGCTCCGCGCGCAGACCTTCGCAGACGCCTACCTGAAGAAGTAGCCAGCCAGAAGGATGAAGACGACGAACACCAGCAGCAGGATCAGCATGGAAGTCAGGAGGTCCTTGTGCAAACCGCTCTCTTCTGTGGAGTCTGCCAACGGAAGCACAGCAAAGGCGAACGGCTGCAGGCACGGACCGCAGCGGCGGGGCCCGCGCGATCCTGTTTCCTACGCGAACACCTCGCCCCAACTAACGGTGCCGGAACGTCCCCCGCACCCCTAACTTCGGCTCTGTGCAACCTTCTGCCTGCATTTACTACAAGCATCGCAAAGGCTTTCTAAGACTCGCAAAGCTGAAATTCAGAATCGGAAGATTTTTTTCCCCCTCTCCAAGCACACACACACACACAGACAACAAACAATTTGGTTTCCAGAGCGTCAAGAACGTTAGAGGAACGAGGATCCAAAAATGAAATTAAATAAGAATTTACTTTTAATTACAGTAAGGTAGCTGGGTTCATATTTTCGGTGCAAGGCCCTTAAAACCAACTAAAGGTAAAGCCCACTCAGAAGGTTTCACCTCATCTGTCCTTACGCACGCTAGCTGGTTTTCAGCCGGCCAGAGCTCCCCCTCTGAAGGAGCATTGCCCTTCACATCGGTATTACCGACGCCAAAGACGTGCGTCACGCACGTCTAACGTGTTCAGTTCACCCAGCCATTAAGAGGTTTTTGTGGGGGTTTTTTTTTCAGTAAAGTGACACTTTACAGTTCACTTTCATTATGCTTTCAGTCACCTTTTAATTCCAGTGAACAGTTCAATATGCAACACGTTAAAATCATAAAAACGCGTTTTATTCGAACAAAAGGAATCATCAGCCTTAGTCTTCAGCAAGAAGATGTGAATCCTGCTTTTTCCAAGCAGCCAAAGTAGCCCACGTTATTCTAGCCGTGGCGGAAAGAGGCTTTTCCCTCCTCACCTAGCATGCATTGCTCAAAAGACATGCAAAGAGTCAAAAATGCACTTTCCCCAGTTGGAGTCAAACGGATCGGTTATCTAACGCAGCAGCCTGTGCTTACGGCACCTGCTAGGAAGCGTCTCGGGGATGCCGAACTTCCCGGGTTTTCCGTCTTTGCAGTAGCATTCCTTAGCCGCCTTTAGAGGCGTGTTTCTCCACCGCTTCATCAACGTCTGCTCTTCCAATGCTAAGGCGATTTCTTTTTTAAACGGTATTTGCACGTCCTCAATGAATTCCCAACAATTTCTGGTGCACCTTATACACGAACGTATGAACAACAGGCATTTGCTAAAAGCAAAAAGCTACTACCAATTTTGTTTCTTTGAAAGAGAAACATGCCTAGTTTTTATTTAAATTGTAGGTGAGGGAGCAGGAAGGGAGTCTGAATAACCCCGTCAAACAGAGAACACTGTAAAGAAGGGAAAAGTGATACGGTTTGGAGAGAAGAGACGTGACGTTGCTCACATTGCGTTTTAGGACAGGGAATAAAACTTCCTCTGTGGGTACAAATTCCCTGGGGTCTTGCAATATCCTAGGAAAGAAGTTACCTCAGTCAACTTAATGGTCCAAAGAAAGGCAGGGCAATAAAATACATGGAACTAGACATTTAAATGGTGCATAAAGACAGAATTGACAGGCATGACAAAATCGTCATCGGAAACCATCACCCGACTGGGTTCAGAAAATCGCTGCTGTAGGAAGTGCCTGGATGAACGTGTATCCGTCAGAAACAGCTTAACAATTTCTGTACAGTATTTAACAGCAGCGTGCTCTGTACAGAAACAAAGATTTGGCAAAGAAAGAAAAAATGCCCCTCACAGGTCAAAAAAAAAAAAAAACTTCTGAAATTAGGAAATTTCAGATTTAGTATCTGAGAAAATTCCAGGAGTACATTTTTCTTATATCAATTTTCATCATCTGCACTGTGTCAAAATGCAGGACGCTGTGGGAGGGAGAGAAGGGGACAGCAACAAAACATGTGAGTCACAAGAGAATTGAAAACTCCCTTAATTCATCACGCAACACAAAATCCCCTGTCTCTTTCTCTCAGAATAACTCATGTTCCTTATACCATATTTCTGAGGCAACTGTGGAAAACACTGATTCCCCACCAAAAGGCATAACAGAAAACCTTGCAGTCATCCCTCAATCCAAGCCAGGAGGAGGAAAGTTCAGTTTTCTGCCAGAGTCCTACTTCCATTTCTTCATTTAAGGACAGAGCATCCCTATAATGACTGATACCATTCTCTGCATCAAAATCTCACCTCTCCCCCTCCCATTTCACAAGGGAGTTAGTTCATAACACCCACAAAAAGTCCCTTCTTCCTTGCACACTGACGCACCGCTTTCAGAAGAGTTGCAGTGTCAGACCTGCGTGAAAAGACCACGGCAGGCACGGTGTGCTTTGAAACAGCTGCATTTATTACCTGTATTTTCTTCAGTGGCTGCACTGGCAATTTTGGAAACAGAATCCAAAAATTAAATGAGAAGTTATCACTGGGCTAAGTCTTCGTAGATTCAGAGGCTGAAAGATCTTTGGCCAATGCAACTGCCTAAAGATTAAGTAGGACTTTAAGGGGAAACTGAATCACAGACCTGAATTATTTCAGTTTTGCTTCAGAAGTTGAAGATGAAAACATCTGAGTAAATACATGCTGGAAAAGCAGATGTCTTCTACAGTAGCTCTGCAGTGCACCATTGCCATGGGAAATTTTCCACTATCGCAACACAGGGAGCAGTGGTCCTCAACCACACGGTCTTCTGCTAGCAGCCACATGAAAATAATCATCCCAGGGTACTTTTCAGAAACATAATGAAATACTGGCTTTCACCTGGACAAGGAATTGGGATGATCAGCAGAAGGATGGTGACAATACCCTTCCTGCTTCCCCGGCACCTGCTAAGCTCGACTC